TAAAATAATTATTATTTAGGTACCCTATAAAGGGTTTATCATTTTATTGCAATATTTTGAGGCTCACAGACATTGTCTTTTGACTGAAATGTAGGGCTTAACTAAAGATGATACAAGTGAATGTACACTAACTTGTGACGTTATTTATAATGCCACTTGATTACATGAATTACTAGCGATATGAATTATGGCTATGCATTGTGGAAAGTGTATTCTGTTTTACGACGCTGTTTTCGCTTTCAAAAATTTAGATGAGCAAGCAAGCAGTAATCAGTTCAATTATCTTCAAAATATTTACTTTAGGACAAAATTTGTCAGCTAGATAAAACCGGAAAAATCTCATTACTCCATGAATCTATTTTCCAGGCGGTTTGTCGTTGTTATTGCCTGATTTAGTGTTAGTATCCCTTTTATTCAAACACAGCGGCGCTGCTGTTGCATCTATTTAAATGTATCAGCCAGATTTGTGTTGAGTTTGTCACTTTAGGTGTTTTTACATTTCGTCTCCGCTTCGCTGGGAGCGATGCGGCCCGATTTAATGACCTTAGTTTTATTCATAATCTCCTCCCTCCTGTTACGCAGGTTTTTCCTAGAAAATTGCTTTGCGGTTTCACGAAACATAACAATCCTTCGTTTCTCTCGCCACACGTTTAACGAGATTTCCCGACAGGCGAAATGGCTAAATGGATAAAAGTGCCTAAATGTTGCTTTGAAATATATCTGTTTCCCGTATGAATCTTTAGCCTGCAAATAATATACAAATGTGCATAGGCTTAGCCTGAATGTCATTCATAAATAATCATAATATTTCTCAAAATTTCATTAAAAATAACATATTTCGTTTAATTGTTACGTTAACTTGCCTACATCAAACTGATAATCTCCCCGAGGTGATCTCATTTTGGAAGTTGGAGATCATAGAGAAATGTTCATTTAACTTATCTAGAAAATGAGAACTGTGGTAAAAATGATTTCGCAGCAGGAAAACATTTCATATTAGTCATAATATCACTCCTTGAGCCGCCCAGCATGCTGCTTTATTCCAATGCATCCATTGGTAAAGAACACCTGGAGGAGCGCAGGCCAAATTAGCATGGATTAAGATTGGGATGAAATTGAATCCTTTCAGATATCGACAAAATGGGGGTTGCTAATTATAAGAAATTGCCAAGGGTTTTGGTCTCAGTGGACACTCAGATGCCCCAACAATGTATAAAACACCCACTGATGTGGCATTTGAAATTATAATGTTAATGGACGTCGCAAGGCAGTGCAAGCAAAAATGAAACCTTTTTCACCGCTTGATATCTTTCTATACACTTAGCATGGGCCTAATTTAAAGGAATGATGTCATATATATATATATATATATATATATATATATATATATATATATATATATATATATATATATATTTATTGAATGAAAGATCACTTGATATACTTTAATAGGACAGCGTATGCTCACATTTATATATGCTAACTTACCTAATAAATTAAACTGGCTGCTGCACAGCTAGAATTAAAACGTTACAAATAGCTTTCATCTCTGACTCAAAATGTAGAATAATGAAGTTTAACATTATTCAAGATGTAGGCTAATATATCTGGAACAGGAACATTTCTTGACACTGTGCATATTTCTCTGCAATCAATCGTTTGTGAACTTGGGTTCTTTTCAAGTCCAGAGGCCGCTAATATGCTTTCATTGTTGCTGCACTAAACTTTGATTAGATGCAACGCACAGCTGTCAGTCAATAGTAATTATGGAACGACATTTTAATCAAGATACACTATCACAAACAATGTTTTGGAAAGTCAAAAATGTTGCATTTATTCTCTCCAAACTCATTTAACCAATTATCTTTTTGTAGATTTAACCGTTTTGAAAGGTGTACATTAATCAGTCATAAATGTATCTAATTCCAACAGCGCGGAACCATTCATGATTATGGCAGCTCCCCTCATGATGAGGATGATGATCTCAGGAGAAAGCAGTTTTTCCAGAGGCACGAGGCATATGTCTGACCTAACTGATCGCAAAAAATCCTGGATTTGTCCATTTATGGACTGGAATTTTCAGATGGAATGGTCTGCACTCATCTTTAAGTCATTATGTTTTGTGATGTTTTACATCACTGTCTACAAGTGGAGACATTCTCATTCGTGTGATCTGATAATCTTAACGAGTAACTTGGAAGTTAATGGATTATGTTCTGAGTAAAATGGACACCAAAAAAAGTCATTTTCATGAGTGTTCTCTTTCTATCTACATTATTTAGTTTGACAGGCCCATCTAAATAATTAAAGGGAGCAAAGAAATAATCTCCGCCAATGAATCTGCAAATTAACTTCAGTTGCAACTTTTAAAGAGTATAAACAAACACATCAGCCTTACTAATCGTTTTTAAGAACCTATTAAATGTATACTCTACAGTAAAACTCGACTGTAATCAGTCAAAACGAGGCTACCATAAATAATTTTTGTACACACACACACACACACACACACACACACACACACACACACACACACACACACACACACACACACACACACAAAATTATTACTCCATTAATGTCAGTCATGTGTAGGCATGATGTGTTTACTTTTGTCCATTTTATCTTGACAAGAAAATTACAAATGTGCTCGATCCTTTCATATAATTTTGTTGTACCATGTATCGACTGGGAGGCAGATGTCATTATTCGCATTGTGTTATTGGACCCTGTGAATATCTAATCTCTGTTGCATAGTTTTTGACTTTGTCCTAATATTTTAGTGTCTGATTTCTGCGGTGAGTCTTAATGAAAAATACGAAACGTATTTTGTACACAAACACAGTGTCTTCTGCAAACATTTTGGGATTAGAGAATAATCAATGTCTTTCTGCTCGACGCGCCTTTTAATACATTGAATATCGAACTTAGGCTTGTCTCGTTGAGCAAAAATTAATTTCTAACATACAGGGCGAAGCTGTCGACTTAGAACAAACTGCATCCAATCACCCCGAGGGACTTCAGATAAAGTCGCCTGAACAAATAAAACAATAAACACACAAGCGTGTGAAAAAAAAGAAAAGAAAGAACAATAATAATATTAATAATAATACAAATCCACCTTCAATGAAATCACGACTAGTGCCACAAATATTTTGTCAGGTGTATAAATTATCCACACGAGTGATTCTGTGCTCATGATGATTTAAACTGGCCGTCATGATTTTGTATTTATATAAAATCTAAATTGATTTGATTAACTTCTAATTAATATAATAGCATAAACACACAAGCATTTAACTGCCTGTAATATCCAACTACAAGAAAATGAAACAGAAAAAGCAATACATCGATTATCCCAAGAGCATAATAAACAACATTTATAAAGTTATTTACTTTGCCACTCAAACTGTCCAAAATATTTTGAAAATGTTATATTATTTATGTAGGGTATCTCTCTCTCTCTCTCTCTCTCTCTCTCTCTCTCTCTCTCACACACACACACACACACACACTCACACACACACACACACACACACACGCTCAAAAATCCAAAATCTGCAGAACTTTTTATTATCTATCTATCTATCTATCTATCTATCTATCTATCTATCTATCTATCTATCTATCTATCTATCTATCTATCTATCTATCTATCTAATGTATCTATCTAAATATCAAATAACGAGATAACGAGATATTGTAAAATAATAGTAAATAGGAATAAATTTTAAAAGTATATGTTATAAAGCATTTATGTTACTGAACATTTAACACTCGCTAATGTTCCAATATATAAAGTCGGTGAAAATGATAAGATGGATCCCCATGATAAGTAAGCAATGATTATGTGTGCCGGAGGGCTTCCCTTGCTTTTCCCTCTCTCTCCCAAACACACATACACACGCTTGGAAGCAGAGGGTCGGCGTAAGGGAAAGCTGGCTGGACAGATTTAAGTTTACGCCTGATCGCGCTCTGGAGTGCAGGCCAGCAGAGAGAGGGAGAGACAGCACCTGGCCCGGCTTTAGCATCCCCATCTCGTTTTATTGACAGCCTGATAAGCGGGGACAGGCCGTGCGGTTTCCAGTGGAGATTTCAAGATCTCTGCTGGGTTGCGCCGGTTTCGCGGGGTCTAAACGGTGCAGCATTTGATTCTTATGTCTGTGTTCTTTCTTTCAGAAATGTAAATTGAGATGTAATCTTAAATTAGGCAACTATTAGCAATAACGTCTTTTAAAGCAACAACAGGCCACAAAATACACTCATAAAAATAAAGCTGCTAGGAAAACCCAAAAAAAAGGCTTTCACAATGAAGCCATTGGTTTAAAGAAAGTTTAAAAAAAGTTATTTACGTTTTAACAGTGTAAAATACATTGTAATAAAACCCCTTATCAACTATAAATAGGAATAATAAGTATGGAATGAAAATGGACATGAAACCATCCATCCCGAACCTTTTAAAGTGTAAAAGATTTTAGTTTTTAAATAAGCAAAATTATACCTATAGCATTTATGTTCTGACTATGGATTCATATTGCAATCAAAATGTTGTCCTTTGACACAAACGAGCTCAAGCAGTAGCTTATATAGCAAATACGGTGACTTTAGAGTTTTCAGCCACTTTGTGTAGGCCTAAAAATAAATATATTCTGTTGGTGAGTTTATAAACAGCAATAAACTGTTTATTTGTTATGTTTTTTGAACACCCTCTTCAAAATATTGTTGCTTGTGTGTGTCAACTAAAAAGTGTTCTTACATGTGTTTGTGTAGGCTACGCTACAAAATAACTAATTCGTGCATTCATTAAATGGTGGCTTGAAATAAGAGGAACCTCAAAGAAACTTGATATAGTTTATGCTCTGCATATCCGCACGCAGCAGACAGCCGTTCCTTCAACTTCCCGGTTTGGAGAATGATAAATGGCGTCAAGTGTGACGTGGTCTGTCACTCCAGCCAATCACTGCCAGGTTGAGGTTAATATTAAGAGAAAGTTGATGGTGAGAAGGAGATGTCTTTTTTATATTCCGAACCACGTTTAAAGAAAGAGGTATTTTGAACTCAAGACAACACGGTTAACGTCCGAGGTTTGCGTGTCTCGTAAGAAAGAAGAGGGAGAGTCCAATATTCGACCTGATTTCATCTGTTAAACAGGCTAGTATTTTCGTCGACTTCACAAAGGGGTTTGCAATCTCTCACAACCTTTTCCGAGGTTCTCTTTTCGAGGTTCCCTTGTTGGACTGGATATTATTTACTTTGGGACTAGTTTTGTGATTCGGATCCGGAGGGGCTCCATAGACACTCATTACTCTTCACTTGAAACTTGGAACCGTGCGTCTCATAACGAAATCCATTACGAATGTTTTGCTATCGGAACGGGTTTATTGAGGTAAGTTAGTTTAGTTCTAAATTCTACTTTACACATTTGCCCCATGTTACGACATCACATTATCGCGCTGACAAATTGAGTTAATCACGAGAATACTGTAAATTTGACTGGCATATACTTTCCAATGAAACTATGCCGTGAAATTAATTTATTCTCTGCCCAGTGCACAATACTCGCCAGTATGCTAAATTGCTTTATGTACAGCATAATATCGTATTATTGATTTATTAAGTATTGAAAGACATTTATAAAACTGAAGACCGTCACCGGGAATGATGAGAAATGTTATGCCATATGAGAGTAAACAGTTTAATAATTAAAACAGTTTGCTGAGTTGCTAACTTCTGTGCTGTTTTAAAAAAGCATTTTTATTATCATGAATCGCTCCGGATCAGCAAGTCTTTATTTAATTGTAGCATATTAAACAAAGCAACTTACATATTGGACGTATAACTTTGCGATTAAGTTGCATAACATGGTGTATTTGTTTCAAAATACAATACCGTTTTATACTTTTTAAAAATAATTAATAATAATATTAATATTACAATATTGCATTTATAAAATAATTTTTTGTCGTGTTTGCCATAAAGTTACACACACACACACACACACACACACACACACACACACACACACACACACACACACCACAATGTAATGCAGTTCTTTTCATAAAGCAGTTATTGCATTTAGAGACTATTAGATTATTAGAAATATAATCACGTGCTTTCATGCAACTGCATTTTCATAGCCTAGTAAAATACAGCAAGAAACTTCAAAAATAAAGTTCCCACTTAACCTCCTATGCATAAACTTTGCCCTGAATGCAGATTACATGGCCCATAAACTCTGTCACAACTGAGACACGTCAGGTTATCGAAATAATTTAAATACTACCTTTATATCACATTCAATAACTAAAAACAATTCAAATCTTAAGGCTGCAAAACAAATCTCCGCATCTCTCCTCTAATCTGTGAAAGAAAGAACAGAAATAATTATGAAAATTATTAGCCAGCCACATCTTCTGTCTATTATAGCTTAATGAAATAGAATAAGGTGTAACTTGCTTCTGTTGGAACATGGCGTTAAACAGAAGGGCCCTTTTGCCAGTGCGGTGGTCTATGTCGCTGTGGGCAACCGCATCAAAAAAGCCCCATCCCCCAGAACATGGTGACTGGATGTGGGTCTTGCACTGGCCATAACGATAAACCTTTCCCACATTGCCTTAATAAGAGCCAGTCTATCTCACTCGCTCTCACTGACGTCATTTGCATTCAGTCCTATCCCCGCCCCTTATTATTATTATTTCTCCCTGTTTAAAACTTTTAGTGAGAGGCGAGGCATGGTGTATTCTGCCCGAGGGAAATAGCGACAAGATTAGGTTCTTTTTCATGACCAAACACCGCTGACTGCTAATCCGAACTGTGCTAATTGATGGGAGGACTACAAGAGTCCATCCGTGTGAAAAGTCTAAAACTAGTCAAATATATGACGTCCTTTTACAAATGCTACCTTGTTTAAAGGTGGATTAAATATGTGGACAAGTCTCATAAAAGTTATTTTTCTGAATTTAAGTAATAGCCTATAGCCTGTACCTCGTTTCAACACTGTAAAAAATACAGGGTTTCACACAATTTATCCATGTTGTCCCAACACAAATCGATTGAGTTAACTTAACACTTTTAACAAATTTATGTAGATTGAACATAAAAAATTAAGTTGTACGAATGAAATGTGTTATTTTGGACAATCCACGGGCTAATAAAATGTCCAATTTTAAATGTCCAAAAAAACCCAATATTGGGAGGATAAGGCTTTTTGTCATGAACACATACGCTACAAAAAGTAAAACTTTTACACTGCCCGTATTTTAAGGGCAGTGATTTGTGAGCTTAAATGGGAGTTTCACAGTACAGTCCAAACAAAAATATAAACAGAAAAAAATCTCAGTACAGTCGCACAACGTGTTGCGTTTCGAGTTGAACTCTTTACCAACAGAGGAACTAACTTTGAAACGGGAGGGGAGGGGAAAATTATTCGAAATATCAAACGGCGTGGCGGGGTCGCACCGCGGGACCCGAAATGACAGTGCATGACGGTCGCGCCAGCTCATTATCCGACTCCCATTCAGGCGGCCTTTCATTGCGATGCAGACTCTTTGGCAGTGTCGTTTGTTTCCTCATTGTGCTATAGTGGGGAATGCAATGGTTGTCAGAGCTTGCATTCACTTTAGCGATAGTTTATTGATGAGCTCCGACTTTTAGCACTTTTCACATGTCAAAACGAAGTCAAGTGTATGCAACCACAGCTTAATTTTATGCTCCGTGCGTCCCAACACATTTTGTCTCTCTTTAAAGCTGTCCCACCATGCTATACGTGACCCCCTCCCCTCTACATTTCTTGTATCCCAACCCGGAATCTATTCCACTCCAGTGAACGGGTGGAACACCCCAAGCTGCGAGTGGCGAGCTGAGAGTGCAGCGCATGTAACCTCAAACACAGGCGCGGAGGGGTTGCTTTGGAGTTTACCGAGGTGTGTGCTAATGTCCAAGCAATCAACAAATGTAGTTTAAGTGTCCGGCCATGGACGTAATGATATTTTCATTTCCCCCCTTGGCAACCCACGACACGGAGTTTCTTTTTCTCCTGCTGAAAAACGACAACAAATCACGCTATTAATGTAAATAGTATGGGGTCTCCCAACTGATCATTGAGCGTGCGCCGTAAAGGCTGATGACATTCTCAGACACCGAATCAACAATGACACGTGGAGAAAGTTTGCGCTTGTTTCAAAGGACAAGAGCAGCATAAATTGACACAAGAGTTAATTACAAACAATAATAAAAATCAACAACTGAGTTGGCCTAAATGGTTAAACTCGCTTGCTATTTTGACTTGTACTTTTAAAACAAACAAACAAAAAAAAAAACGTGGAAGTTTATTTATACAACACACATTAATGGCATTTTTTAACCTTTCCTCAAGTGTCTTGTCAACTACAATAGAATTTTATAGCTCAAACAACTGAAAAGTATTTCAATTGAAAATTTGTGAGAGAACCATGATTATGAGGAATGATTATGCTAAGATTAAAACTAGTTTTGTGATCGGATTACAATTATTTAAAATAAATATACTTTAATATGTGTCTGGAAACACTTAAAAGACTCTTAAAAATAAAGATCCTTAATTGTTGCTGAGGGTGAAGAAACTTTAACATTCTTGGAGCCTTCCCATTCCACGAAAGCTTCTTTCGATTATTAAAATTTTCTTCGCACTGAGATAAAAAATACTTTAATGGTTTGCAAACAGATTTTTTGGGAAACCAAAAAGTGTTTTATATTGTGGCACTGTGTGAACATCTTGAAAGATTTAGAATAATTTACTTTTCGTCAAAAAAAATTGCTATTGTACTCTTTTTGGAACTTTTTTCCTAAGTCAGGAATAAAAAATATAAAGAGAAGCATATGCATAAAGAGTCGTTGGGCCAGGTTAAATACAAGCTATTATTATTTAAACTCGTTTACTTTATTATGTAATTACAAAAACGCTTTAGTGCCGTGGAGTTACTATGGTAAATAGGGAAAATAGATGTGTAAAAAAGCATTTTTTCATGGTACCTTTTGATACCCTTCAAAGTTTCCAGTCACACAAAGTTCAATAGTCCAAATGCCTAAAGATATTGCAATGGAAAAAATGGTGAGAGAATTATATGCTTATGAGGAATGATTAAGTAGGGTTAAAAAAATAGCTTTTTGCTTGGCCCTGTTTCCCGCTCTGTCACCGGGGCAGGAGGAAGTGTTTTGCTGGGAGATGATGACAGAGGTCAGGCTCAGCTAATGGGCCACTGAAGAGGAGAGGAGGCGAGGCACAGACCAGGAACACATACATTAATACACGAGTGCTATCACCAATCAGCATAGGTGCGCGCCCTCTCTCTCTCTCTTTCATGCGCGCTCCCTCTCCCTCTCTTTCGCTCTCTCTCTCACTCACTCCCACGAGCGCACATTTTTCAGTCTCGCACAGTCTTGACATCCCATTTTATTGTCAATCTCTGTTTCCTTCGCAGGGAATTTAAATTTTCCACCCGAGATCAGTTGGAAACTATAAAAGACAAACTGTTTGAGGACGATTTTCTAGAACTCCAGAGTCTTCTCGTTATTGTAAACGAAGAACTTCAGCGAGGATACAAAGGCTGTTGGAACTATGCCTCAAAAAGGTAAGTTAAGACATTCTTCTCTTTTTAGCAATATGCCCCGAAGTCTAGTTGAATCTAGTGTTGGTAAATAGAGGCCAGCAAAATTAAAAAGTAGTTATTTAGAAATTATAACTATGAGGTAAAGAAACTTAAATTATGTTGGTTCTTGAAAAATGAACTTTTAATGAAAAGAACGTAGCTAATAAAACAAAACTTAAAGCTGCACAACCTCGTGGTGTCAACGAGATCATCGATTTTTCACGGAGCCTCTTTGCCTTTTTATGCTTCAGCTATGTCTAGTTTTTGTGCCAAGCAAAGTTCTTATTTATGACAGAGGAAAGCAAAAAGTCACAGTAGGCCAAGACCGCGATCAGTCCTGAAAATGGGAACGCAATGACCCGATGAGGTGGAGTGTCAGGTTGAATCACACCATCACATTCAGCCGGGCGCCACCACCAAATCGCGCCGTGAACTTGGTGTTTTGCTGGGTGTTTCAGTCAATGGTATGCTACCATCTTTGTTCCCGATTAACTATTTAATAACACGAATTATGACAACAACAAAAAAAATGTTGTCTAAAATTCAATACAACATGTTTAAAGATTTAGTTGTGTATTTAGGTTTCAAAACTACAACAATCATCGACGTTGTATTGACAGTTAATCCCTACAGATATTAAGTACGTTTATTTATAAACCTTTATTAAATTGGAAAAAATAATCTAAAATGTATGCAATAAAATTAAAATTAAATGTATCTCATTCTCTCTGTGGTGATTTTAAACAGTTGCAGTAGCCTAGACTATTTTATATCCAGCCAAATTTTTAATTTTATATATCTAGTGTGATAATATTCAGCATTTTAAAATAAAATTGAACATTAACTTTTAAAACTTTCACACGAATGTACTTACTGCAGAATTTCAAAGGCCTGATTAGGGTTTAATTAAGAGTCTCCATGTTGCACATTAAAACGAACAAAAATGCAGATTAGGCCCTGCCAATTACATATAGCACTATTAAAACATGCCTTAACTGGAAAGTTAAGTGCAGTCAGACGATTTTAAACAGTCCATATGGGTAAGAAATACTAAACTGTTTAATGTATTAAAAAGTTTAGCGTTGAACAAAATATTTAATAATCATTATATGCGTTCACAAATGTTTGAATTGCTGTATTTTGTACAATTGCTAATATGTAAAAATAATAAAGAATAGCAAAATATGTTATTTAATGAAACACGTGCATCGCTGGCTGGCGACTGGTGTATGTATTTATTTGTTGCTGTGCACTGTAAACCGCGCACACAATCCATCTACTTAAAAAGAAAAAGAAGAAAAAATCAAAGCAGGGAGTATTTCTTCAGTGGCCTCCTTTTCGGTAAATGTATTGAATGGGTTCTTTATTGCAATTGTCTTTTACCAATTGAGCGCCCCACTGTGCTGTTGTATATTTTTTACAGCCCTTAACGACACATACCAGTAGCACAATTACCTCCAGATACTTATAACAAGAAATTACTTTTCTATTTCGCGCTATGAGACAAACAAAAAGGCATTGAGGTAACGGGCACCGGGTCATAGTGAGCTGCACTGGCTGTTGCGGGTAAAGGGGGGTTATGCTGAACCGGGTGTAGGAGGAGGAGAAGGAGGAGGGGGTCTCGCTCTCTTCAGCTCTTTGTATTTTCTGAGAGTTGTTGGTACGTTTAGTTGGAAGCGGTGTAGCTAGTTAGGGAGCCCGGGTTTTACTCTCTGGGTTTTGGTGTAGAGGGAGAAAGAAAGCTATTGTTAAAATTCAGCGGGGCTTTGTCGGGGACCCCTCACCCCCTCCTGGCTTTACTTTTCCAGCGCAGCCAGGCGAGGTAGACAGCGTGTGTCACCAGAACAGAGTATCTGAAGGAGTGAAAAAAAGAAAAGAAAAAAAAAGTAGGCCTTGCCCACAACATTTGAAGTTGTCTAATCGTGAAGGTTAAGGAGAACAGCTGAACATGTAAAAAAGTAAAAAAAATAAATAAATGATAATAATAATAATAATAATACACAATAATGTTAATAATAACAACAACAACGATTATACATGTATTATAATTATTGTAACAATTATTATAATTGTTATTATTTTTTATTATTGGCACTAACGAATAAACTTAAAATACCATTAGGAAACGCTGAAAAGTACAAATTTATCGAACCAAGCAATACATTTATTATCTTCTAAATTAATAAACATAAAAAAGCCAATATTAGTTTTAATTGTAATTAAATAATAACGTATAGCTGTACTAATAAATTGTTTTGCTTTGTCCTAGGGATATTTTAATAGAGTGAAGCAGATGACAGTCTATAAATTGTTTTAAGCGGACAGTCAACTCTGTTTCCAGGCAAGTTTTTTTAAACCCTGGACATAAGTGTATTTGTGGAGACAGTATTATTTTATTTTTATTTTTCACTTTTTTTGCAGCATGAATGCAAAAAAAAAAAAAAAAAAAAACCTGAAGCTTCAGCACACACTATTGCCCGTATTTTTTCTGCACACATTGCACTGCAATACATTAGATTGAGAATTTGTGAAACTGACCATTACTGTTGTTTCTTTATGACTAATAGAATACTATAACCGGGCCACGTGGGAGTCTGGTGTCGCGTCCATGATGCAAAACAGTAAGTGGACTTTTTTTTTCTTACATGCGATTTTCAATCAAGAAGGACTAGGGTGAAAAAAGAATGAGATAGCAATCTAGCCATAAAGGCATTTGTTTTGGTATATTGGTAAAGACGTATGTCAGGGCTGTTGGGCGTGTGCATGCTGTCAATTTATTTTTTGCCTGTCATTCATACAGCTCCCTCAATGTAGCATAGAAAGCTAAACTCATTGCTCAAGCCTAACTTTACCTATTTACAGTTTTATGGAACATCGTAAGTCATTATTTAAATTCGTAAGGCTACATTTGAGAGAGCAAAATTAGATTCCTAGTGAGAAATTAAATAAAAAAAAGTCTGCATAGCTACACAACCTAGTTAGAATGTCTAACCCATATGCTCTTTGCATAATTGTGTGCGTCTGTGTGTGTTAGAGAGAGAGTGAGAGAGAGAGGATGTTTCTGCTTGACTTGCTTTTAAATAATTGCTGAATTAATGTTAGCATCGGCGGCCAATCCACCTAGTCCATTAGCAGAGACGAAATTGACATTGCATGATTCTGATGGAACGTCTATCATGTTTATGAAACACCGCAAGAGAGAAATAATAGACTGAGCTTTGATGCAACATTGAATGTTGTAGAGCATGAATAAATCACATGCGCTGATGTGTCTGTGTCTTTGAGATGTGTGAAGGCCAACTAGCAAAACATATACTTAGTGATTTGTGGAAACTACTGAGTAAGTTATGATTACAATAAATGAGACATATTTTCTCTCTTAATGCTGGACAAGAGGTGTATGACATCTGTAACGAAGGTGTGTTGAATGTCATCCTCTCATTTCTTTTGCTTTTACTGTTGTAAGTGCCAGTTATTTTCTCTGTCCTCATACTGACGACTGGTGTGTTTTAGTTACTAAATTTCAGGGGAGGAAATGTATACGTAAATATATATTGCAGGTGTACATGTAAAATATTTTCATGCTAACTAAGCAATTATACAGGTCAGTTAAAGTAGAGCATATGCAACTTCGTGAGCTGTAAATAAATATGTAAACAACACTATACAAAATGTATAAAATCGTAATATTTTAAGCGGAGAAAAAACCTTGAGGCTAATCAGTGTTATTGTACGGCAATGTCTCGCGTGTATCACTAAAAAGATATCATTCGGGTTAGGCCTTTGGTTTGTTAAAAGGTCACAGGCGACAATCCAAGCTTTGTGCTAATAACTCTTGGGTGTATATAAAGTGGGGCGTCCAAATCGACACCATATGTCTTCTTATTAATTGATTAGAAACAGAGTACCGCGCGCAATGATTGCCACTGGGCGAGACCGACACCATTCTCCGTGGGGAATTATATAACGATTAAGACTTAACCTTTCAAGCGAAAATTTGATTTTATATCCTAATCTGCGTGTTGGGGAGCTCAAGATCAAGTGATGTGTGCATTTTTAAAGCCATACGGGATGTAATTTCAAAGTCAATAAATTTTCAATCCATCTATTAAGGAATAGAAAATAGGGTGATTTCCTCTTACCTTGCATGTCAAGTGTACTAAAAAATTAATTTTGAGGTAGAAAGCATGCAGTTATCGTCATTGTGCACAATAATAAAACATTCGTGCATATGCTTTGCATATTTATTATGCATAAACCTACACTACAAAACAGCATCACGCAGACTGGCTCCCAGTGCGTAAATATAGGCATTGGAGGTTTGTCACTTGGGAAAAAAAGAAATGTCACTTTCAATATATTAAGGGCAAGGCGCGCACCCGTGAACGTGCGCGCGCACAGCCCCTGGCTACCTTAAAATTAAGCTTCCCTTAAAGGGAAAATGAGTAGAGTCCAATTTAGTCTGAGTGATATCCAAATGCAGACAGAAAGGGTCGTTTTATCATGCTACTATTTGTCGTGACGATGCGATTTTCAAAAGCAGAGCGATGTCATAAAGTGACATGCCTGCCACAAGTGCTCCAACTGATCTTTTCAATTAGCCTTCCATGCATGATCCAGGGCGACTTCCGCCTATTTCCAGAAATTAAGCTCAAACTTGACGTGCAGCTAGCTTTATTTTAAAGACAAATGTCAGGCAGGCTCATCATATTTTCCCCCTCTTCTATATTTGGAGCTTATTTATTGCAAAGGAGCTTGTGCTCTTGGACTCAATTTAACGCGAGGCTTCGGAGAGAAGGGAGCTGAGAAGTAAAGCAAACCGGGAAGGCTGCTTATTCGTTTTGGCTTCAGGTTTGGTGTCTTTGGTCTGATTTTTGGCAACTTTTCCACTGACATGGTAACATAAGCCAATTTGCTAAATTCTGTGCATCGGTAGATTTTTTTAGAGTTGTTTTACTTAAAGTGTGAGGCTATGGTTTAAATCGTGGCAGCGTTTAAGAAGTTTTAATGTAATGCCGCAAATAGCATTACGCCATCTGATCCGTTTAAGGCTTTGCAAAGATGCGCAAATCTCGGCTCAGTGGGTTGGAGATGTTTTGCTCCAGATCATACGAGAGCGCTGACGCTTAATCAATGTTATGCATGTGTAATTATATTACTATTGTGTATTAGGAGATTATGATATTACCAACACATCTGGAGAACAGTCGAAAACATATGACAGGAATAATTACCGGCTATGCTGATTTTAAAGCGATTTACTCTGCTCTTTTGATGAATGTTGAGATTTGTTGACAATGCTCTTGTAATGCTTGACCTGAAAGCTTCTATTAAACAGCTGTGGCTTGAGTCTGTATTTTGAGTTTAGGCTGCTAAATGCGGGGCGAATTACAACATATTTCTTTTTTTAGGTCACAGTGGAGTGAACCAGCTCGGCGGTGTGTTCGTCAACGGCAGACCGCTACCCGACTCCACGAGACAGAAAATAGTTGAACTCGCACACAGTGGCGCGCGGCCGTGTGACATATCAAGAATTCTGCAGGTGAGGAGAATACCTGTGCTCCGTTCACCCAAAATCAAAAGATTTGTTATTCATTTAAACTGTTTCATACTTACATATTTTTTTCTGCAGTATAGTAGGCTATTTAAAATTGCATTAGTAATGCCAACGAGCAACGTGGAATCATTTCAAATTTCATTTTGGAATGCACAGTGGTCTTGTGGAACGGATCGATTTTTTCCCCAGTTGGCAATTTTTAAAATTTGGCGGCCAAAATGCATTTTCAAAAGTGCATAATTTCTCCTACCACTGAAGACTATTTTTTGTGTTAAAGGTATTTCTTATGTTATAGACCCATGCTGATGCAAAAGTCCAAGTGCTGGACAATGAAAACGTAAGCTTATCATTGCTTGCAGCATACACTTAACATTTCACACTAGTTTTAAATAATGTATGTGAATTGTTTCTTTTGTTTTCCATCTAGGTGTCCAACGGCTGCGTGAGTAAAATCTTGGGTAGATACTATGAAACAGGCTCCATCAGACCCAGGGCGATCGGAGGAAGTAAACCACGAGTAGCGACTCCCGAGGTGGTCGGCAAAATTGCCCAGTACAAGAGGGAGTGTCCGTCAATCTTCGCGTGGGAAATCCGAGACAGGCTGCTATCAGAGGGGGTCTGCACAAACGATAATATACCCAGTGTAAGTTGATTCAGTGAAGTTGCCATGAATTCATTAACAACATTAATGTAGAGATATTTTATGCATTTCTTGACGCAAGCATTAATGACCTTGAACGTGAACATTCTCCAACATCGGCCACTGCTGTAACCTCCTCTTTGCCAGAGGACAATGCAATGCGATGTAATGCTCTGGCATGTAGGCCTGTGCAGAAATGGGGCCAATCGTTCCAAAAGCCAAGATGCCACATCGCGGACGCGCTCTTTAATTAATGTGCCGCATCTTTGGGTTCGTCTTTCAGGTGTCATCGATAAACAGAGTACTGCGCAACCTGGCTAGCGAAAAGCAACAGATGGGCGCAGATGGCATGTATGAAAAGCTGAGGATGCTGAACGGTCAGACCGGCACGTGGGGGACCCGGCCGGGCTGGTACCCCGGAACCTCGGTGCCAGGACAGCCCAATCAAGGTATGGCTGTTTTACTTTCCATAGAGAAAAACGGTGCCAGCTTGGGACTTTGATTGTATGGACTAATTTACTGAAAATTATTATTAGAATTTTCAAACAATTACGATAATACGAATATAAACAATACTAAAATGTCATTGCTATTATCATCATCATTGTCATCATCATCGTCATCATTATTATTATAATTTGTACAGCATTAAATAATAAATCCAGTCTTAAGTATTATATGTCATATACAATTTAAATGCTCTGAGGTAAATTATATGCATTTAGCAAAGGGTTTAATTTGCTAAACAAAATTATAACTAAATTACGGCCGAAATATTAAATTAATTGAATGGTATAAAAGTTGGCTAATAATGTAGCTTAATGAAAGAACTTAACGCTGTAATCCGCCTAAGCAGTTCTTAAAGAAAGCGATATCTAAATAAACAAAGAACAGCATGTGCATATACAAAATATGTTTGTCACACAGAAAAATGTGTTATGGGAACAGTTATGTCGCTATGTAATAGCTCATTAGAGAACGTTTTGTTTCCCATTAAGGCGACATAAATACGCGTTTAGTTTGAGGAGACAGCTGTGGAAATGTTCCACCGGAGACACCCTGGACATGATATGGCAACGTTTGCCAATTAGACTTGTCAGTGTTAAAGGTGCTACTCGACGACAGACAGACGTATAAAACGACACAAACAGAGAATTAATGTCTGAATAATATCGCCCTGTCAAAGTCATGATTGAAACCCCATCTTGGAGATTGCTTTTTATGCAAAATCGTGCAGGTTTACTGACACATATACGCAAGCTATATAATAGCTAATATAATACGTTATAAAATATTTTATAATTGTACTGAGAAAATTAGCATATTTGCTAATAAAATACAGTATAGGAAACGCCTTTGATTTAGGGCATAACTTGCTAGTTTTTCCGTCGGCATCTGTGCTGTTTTAGAGACGATTTAGATTTTTTACTTTAATAAACTGGTTATTCTTATGTTTTAGATTGATTTGCACAATTCTTAAGCATATCATAATTCATTATGACAAACCTGAACATGTGCGATTAAAATATAACAAGCCTAAAGCGGGTTTTATTCAGTCAACTAATTCAATGCCTTTTAAGCCGCTAAATCCATATGTACTATAATTTCATATATCGCTATCACGTCGAAGTCCATAGGCTGTTAGTTTGGGTGAAGATTCTGAGGCAAACAAATATGGTCGCAATCTGATGAATGTCACGCAACACTGAATAAAACAGCGGATTCATCTGGGCTGACAGGACGCTAAAAGAGACAACTCTATCGCATTCAGAAGGCTCACAGGGGCCCCTCCCTCCGCCATAGGCTCAGGGTGCTAAAGCCGTCTAAAGGATTTGGACACTTTCCCTTTTCCGAGGGTCCTCGCATGTTTTGATCAAGGCCTCCACAGCTGAAAGATGCCGCGGTTGTTTTGCCACCTTTTTGCTCGCCTTCCGCCTCACCGGTTACGACAACGCCCCAATAAGGAATGATTTTATTTCCCACCGCCTTTCTTAGAGAAAACAAATCCGAAATTTGGCGACAGTTGGTCAAGGCTTTTGAGAACAGGCCACACATTCGGATTAGCTCTTGAAAAGTGTGGATACTAAACACAAAGAGCTTTTAAAACTTTCCTAGAACATAGAAACGCTGTCTTTTATGAATAAATATCTATGAGAGGTAAGGGAATACTTGTAAACTTTAAATAGAATAATATTCCTTACAATGCTGTTACTAGAAATATATATTTACATAAAGTCAAAATAAATTTAATAAATTGCACAGCATATTGTTATTGCCAGAGCTACATATAGCTTTGTATTGTCATGAGGTTATAATTTATTCTTTAAGTAAACTATATTATATTAAATGTTATATATAAGATATAGATCACACTATAAAATGTTTACAAAAATAGGCCCATTTACTGTAAGCAAAAGATTAACTTTCAAAATATATTAGGTGAATTCAGTTTTTATATAAATAAATATTTAACCACACAATGCATTTAACTTCACTCTTGGTCAAATAAAACAAACTGCACGTATTTCCCCCTAGATAGATAGATAGATAGATAGATAGATAGATAGATAGATAGATAGATAGATAGATAATATTACTGATTATTGATCAACTGAACCTGTGGAAAACAAAGAAGTAAAAGTGCTCATTATAAATGGATCAAAGACAAGTTCTGTTTTAGTGTTTGCATGTAATTAAATTTATGAATGTAATTTTACATATGTAAATAATTTTAAACACAAGTGAAATGTCTATTTTATTGTTTCAAACAGCATTTTGAACAACAAAGTTTAAATATTGACAAAACTGAAAGATAAAATCATTTAATAAGGAAACAGTAAACTGTATTCTGACTAATGTTTATATTAAGATATAACACAAGTTATACAAACTTTTAATATTTTAAATTACTATATTTTTACTTACAAATGGGTAAAACCCAGTGGTTTAATGGATTGTGGCAAATCATATAGATTTAAAATGAAAACTTTGCTTTAAGATGTCATCAAATGATTCATGTTTATTAGTAGGTGTCTTCTGTAAATTATAGCAAAATGAAAAAATAATTATAAATTTTGCTCAGAGAAAAAAGTTGATTTTGATGCATCATAACCTACTAAAAAGCATAAAAGCTGTATCATAAACATATATATATATATATATATATATATATATATATATATATATATATATATATATATATATAGTCAAATATTATTTACTGTCATCATGGCAAAGATAAAATAAATAATTTATTAGAAAACGTATATATATATATATATATATATATATATATATATATATATATATATATATATATATATATATATATATATATATATATATATATGTATGTATGTATATATGCATTTGAGCTAAAAACATGTATTCCTTGAATAAAACTTTGACAAAAAAAATGTTAATTTAGACAACTGATCATTTGTAGAGCTTCATTCATTCCTTAGTTGACAAGTAAATATCAACAAGTTTTTTTCAATAGACTTTTCAAATTCCACACTCATTTTTTTACTGTCAAAACATATTTGCTACCACTAAGTGGGTTAATTAGCCACTGGTGTCTAACAACACAGCAGGTTAAAGCTTATCGACTCACAGTTGCCACTTCTATCCTCTCTTGTCTGACAAACAAGAGTCTCTGCGTTTAGATATCTCATTCATGGTGGCCTGGCTGTTTTTCTCCCTGTGCCTATAAGAAGGTATAAATCCAACCTCAGTTGAACGGGGCCGGCCCTAGGGACAGTGATTAATGACAGTAGAGCATAAAGGTTAACACGGCGAGCTGAAAAGTCTGTTGACTGGAATCCTCGTGCTACAATGACTGCTCGAGAGAATCCTTTTGTCGCCCCGTCCAATTGTGTCCTCAAAATTCAACCCACGAAAAAGTTTGCCATCCGTCCTCGCAGCGAGCATTTAAGAGTTACCCTTACTCTCGTGCATTGTGTGGCTGTGAAAGCATCCTTCTCCTATTCAAGTATTGGTGGTCACCTCAATAGCTCTGCAAACGCCCATATGGTGGCCGTAGCCTAATTGAAGAACCCTGGAATGAAAAGTTGGGGGGAGAGAGGGTGTTTGCTTTTTTAAAAGCTTTCTGGGACATTTTATCGCATTTCTGTAAAGCCCTCGAGCCTTTGTGAGACAAGGAGGAAAGATCTAAGCGATTGTGCGCTAAATGTTTTCTAACAATATTGCGGAGGGCCATGCTATGGCCTGAAAAGTGCTGTAATAATTTTCTAAATAGGATAAACTTACATGTTATGTTTAATTTGATTTTCAGATGGTTGCCAACAGTCAGACGGAGGCGGTGAGAACACAAACTCAATAAGCTCCAATGGCGAGGACTCAGATGAGACCCAAATGAGGCTTCAGCTTAAACGAAAACTGCAAAGGAATCGCACTTCTTTCACACAAGAACAAATAGAAGCACTTGAAAAAGGTAAACATGGAGATTATAGCGAATATTACAGCATCTGTTACAAACTAACAAAATAATTAGGAACAATATAACTTGTTGAAATGTGGCTAGTTTAATATATGTCCTTAAAAGAATTGATTAATATTCTTATGTTCTGTATTCCAGATTCAAACTTGTATGCATTTGCAATAAAGTGATGATTTATGTTTATACGTAACTATTTGTGCTTAAGATAAAAGATTTTAATATAATAAACTATTTATACTAAACTAAAATATACTAAATATTTATGGTTCATTTTTAAAAAATATCAATAGCAAGTGTGTTTAAGCCATATTAATTATTTGTAATAAACTAATCAAATGCGGACATTTAAGTTACCCGGCCCTAAAAAATATCAAATATTTAACTTTTTTGCCCAATATTGTAGCATTTTCAAAATGTTTCCTATTTTTGTTTGTTTCCACCAGAGTTTGAAAGAACGCACTACCCTGACGTTTTTGCACGAGAAAGACTTGCTGCAAAAATAGATTTACCAGAAGCAAGAATACAGGTGAGTGAAAACAGGACAAACTAATGTACAAAAACAGGATGAATAGGCATCGTCAAATAATGCTTGTTTTTACAAGATTTTTGGCATGTAAACTATTGTTATGAAAACAACATTTTAGTTTTTAATAAATCAAGTAAATCTCTCCTTCAGAAGAAACAACAAAAATACTGATGACTCATCATTTCCATCCAGTCAGACGCTCTGTAGAATGAGAATGTCCCACACACTAAATCGATTTGTATCTGTCTAGTATCGCTATCACTATCAAGTATCTGTGATCTAAATGAATACATTTTACTTTATAAAATAAAACCAAAAAAAAAAACAAATTAGCATTCAAAGTTCCTGTTTCAACAGGAAATAAACCCCCATGTACAGTTGAAGTAAGAATTATTAGCTCCCCTTTGATTTTTTTCTTTTTTAAATATTTGCCAAATTATGATTTGAATTACTAGCCCCCCTGAATTATTAGCCAAAGTTTAATTGGCAGAGACCCCCCCTCCCACACCCATTTAATTTTTCCTCAATTCCTGTTTAACAGAGAGAAGATTTTTTTCAACACATTTCTAAACATAATAGTTTCAATAACTCATCTCTAATAACTGACTTATTTTATCTTTGCCATGATGACAGTAAATAATATTTTACTAGATATTTTTAAGACACTTCTATACAGCTTAAAGTGACATTTAAAGGCTTAACTAGGTTAATTAGGTTAACTAGGCAGGTTAGGGTAATTAGGCAAGTTATTGGATAACGATTGTTCTGTAGACTATCGAAAAAAAATTAGCTTAAAGGGGCTAATAATTTTGACCTTAAAATGTTTTTTTAAAAATGTAAAACTGCTTTTATTCTAGCCAAAATAAAACAAATAAGACTTTTTCCAGAAGAAAAAAAAATATCAGACATACTGTGAAAATTTCCTTGCTCTGTTAAACATCATTTGAGAAATATTTAAAAAAGAAAAAAAATTCAAAGTGGGGCTAATAATTCTGATGTCAAATGTACATCAGTTTACCATCAAATCCTCTGACCAATTAAATGCTCTCTAGTATCTAAGATGTCCCACCCCCTTAAAGATGCTATTACTATATGTGCTTGAGCTTGACCACTCTCACAGACAGAGCTGTTACAAAAAGGGGAGGAGTTACTATTTGCTCCACCCTGTCTTCATGTTTCAGTTGAGATTAGGTCAAACATCGAATAAAACTGCACATTTCAAAGCGCTTTAGGGACCTTTAAGCTCTATACTACTCTACAGGGTCTGTATTTCTATTACCTGCTCTATTTAATTATTGATAACCAATTAAACATAAATATGTACATTAAAATGGTTTAAAGAATGTTTATTTAATTGTTCATATTTCATAATATAAATATGTTATATTTCATGTTTCTGTAACACATTTATGCATTTGAGAAATTAAATTGCATAAAAAATCTATAAAACATTTGAAATTGAAAATAATGATATAGAAAAGTACCATATTTTCAGTAAAATAAAAATAATTTTATAAGTCTAAACCTTTCTACAATTAAGTAATTATTCTTGTTATTTTAAAATGTTATTTCATCTGTCAAAATTCAATATTTTTGTATAAAATATGTAGAGAGGTGCTCTTATTCTGCATAATATGGAAATCCTTATGGAAATCTATATGTATTTGAAAATTAAATCTGCAGCAAAATTGTCTATATATATAGATTCACACCAACTAAACAAAAATATGTGCATCCAGGTCTGGTTCTCAAACAGAAGAGCGAAATGGAGGAGGGAGGAAAAGTTAAGAAATCAAAGAAGACAAGCCAGTAATTCCTCAAGTCACATACCCATCAGCAGCAGCTTCAGCACAAGTGTCTATCAACCAATCCCTCAGCCCACAACGCCAGGTAAACGCTTGAAAATGATTGATAAGCAAATACTATTTTAATAAAGCAAACATTATTTAATCAAGTGCAAATTTGGGTTGACTGGGACATTGTTTTCCAGTCATCTCAATGGCAAAAGTGTCCCAATCTACTCGAATGCACCCACTACTTCTAATAAGCAAGATACTAAGTGTGCATTTTTATCCTTTAAACAGTATCCTTTACGTCAGGCTCCATGTTGGGCAGATCAGACACAGCTCTTACGAACACATACAGCGCCCTGCCACCAATGCCAAGCTTCACCATGGCCAACAACCTTCCTATGCAAGTACGTCCAGTTTGAGAGGATTAGTAATTTGATATTGCTGAGCGCTGTAAGGTCTTACGCAAGCGCAGCATACAGACAAGACTAGAAGGTTGTTTATGCGAGACATGAGTGTTGTTGACAGGTTTGCCCTTCTTACCCTCTTCACAGCCCAGCCAGACCTCATCCTACTCCTGCATGTTGCCCACTAGTCCTTCAGTAAACGGGCGGAGCTATGACACATACACACCCCCGCACATGCAGGCGCATATGAACAGCCAATCAATGGCCGCCTCGGGCACAACCTCAACGGGTAAGAGAATTTGCATTTGAATTTGCATAAAATAAAATAAAAAAATAAAAAAATAATAAAAAAAAATTAAAATCTGAATATTGAACTTTTTAAAATTTAAATTAATAATATATTTACAAAATAATAATTATTTTTTTTTGCTACAATGTGCACTATCAAGAAACATGCTCTAAGAAATGTAAACGTAAAATGTAAAACCTAAACATTCTGCATTTACATTTATTAAATTTTGAATTTAAAAAATCCTAAAATATTTATGCATTTTCTTTAACAATTACATAATATGACAAGCTTAATTATTAATATTAAAGTGGTTTAAAAATATTTATATTTAGTAATATAAATAATATTTATTTTTTTGAGAATCAAATTACATAAAAAGACAAGCTTCAAAACAATTGAATTTGAAAATGATGAACTAGAAAAGTGCCATTCAGTAACTTTTTTAGTAAAATGGTCTATACGTGTAAACTTTTCTACATTTAGCTATTTATTCATTTTTTGTTATTTTAAAATGTTTTTTTATATTTCATGATGCCTCATTTTTGGTAAAATATATTGCGTGATAATCTTATGCTTCATAATATGGAAATCCTTATTAATTAAAAATTTGAAAATGAAAAATGTAGTAATTGTAATAAGTTCTTTGCTTTTAAAAAATATGTAAACAATATGTAAAAAAAAAAATACATACATATATATTCAATTGCTGTTATAGCATGAAAACATATGAGTATATAATAATTTATGAATCTTAAAACTTTTTGCACTTTTTAAAATATTGACAGATTTGTAAAAAAAATTAAATATAATAAAAATAATTCAAATGTAATGAAGGCTTTTACAAAAAAATAAATAAATAAAGAAATATTTTGGTGGTTCATTCCGCTGTGGCGACCCCAGATTAATGAAGGGACTAAGCCGAAGAGAAAACAAATGAATAAATATTTTTAAAAGCCGTAATTACATTCAGATAAATAATATTTAATAATTATAAATATGTAAAAGCCTTCAATACATTTTGTTTTAAAAAAACAAAAAATGTTAATAAATAAATAAATACATACATATTTGTAAAACCCTTCATTACATTTAGATAAATAATAAAAATAAACAAATCAATAAATATTTTTAGAAGCCTTAATTACATTTAGATAAAAAAAAAAAAAAAAAATAAATAAATAAATAAATAAATATTTGTAAAAGGCTTCATTACATTTAGATAAAAAAGTGAAATAAATAAATAAATATTTGTAAAAACCTTCATTATATTTAGTTAAAAAAAAACATTTACTATGCAACGTATGTATGAGTGTATGTGCTAATCAACACAAAATGAGGAGTCTAATTATTTCTACAATCTTTCCTTATGCCACAGGTTTAATCTCACCTGGAGTGTCTGTACCCGTTCAAGTGCCAGGCAGTGAACCAGACATGTCCCAATACTGGCCCAGACTACAGTGAGAACGCGACGCACAAGAACAAAAAAGGAAATCAGAGGAGAGAAAAAAAAAAAAAGAGAAGCTCCTTCACCTCCTGATGTCTCTCGGCTACAAGACAGGGGTGTTCAGCAGTATTTCACCACAGAAGGAAAGGAGGAGACTCTAAAGGACCTCTTTTTTTGTACGGGGATAGTGCCACTTCTCTATCATTCTTTGGACACAAAGACTTGAAGAATAAAAGAGAACAGACTTCTGTAAAGTGCCCGGTATTATATCGTAAAAAAATCTGTTTTTCAGTTTCCAACCTAAGTCATTTTGATGTATTTGTACATGTAATGGCCAATTGTATGTTATGACAAAAAAAGGAAAAAAAAATTTTTTTTTTTGAACAACCGTGGATGGACTGTCAGTAGACCATATTGATGACTCATCCTGCACTGCAAAGATTTTTATCCAATCAGACGCTCTCTAGAACGAGAATGTCCTGGCCACTGAAAACACCTGCAGCTGACTATCAAATTGCTGAATACATTTGGCTTTTATAAGACCAAACTAAAAAAGGAAAAGAAACAACATTGTAATTTGGCCTTGAATCGGTTAACGGAGGAACATTTGTGCAGGTTTTACTCATCATTTTCTCATTTGCCGCTTATATCAAGAACTTCTGCCCATTTCTGTTTCAAGCGTGGACCTGTAGTAACAAAACGATCTCTGTAATCTTTTCGAGATGAACAAACACAGCAACAGAGTTTCAGAGGAAGCCAGTCCAGAATTAGCATTTTTTTTTCAGAGCTTGCAGGTGAAAGTGAGCTGTTTTTGTTGCTGAACCGGAGGAGGAAAATGTTTGGTAGCTTAAAAACGGTAGATTGTGTCTTCGATATAATTCAGTTTTGTTTATGTCAAAATGTAAGTATTTGTCTTCCCTAGAAGTCTCGCAGAACAATTTCTATAATAAAATTAATTCCATTTTATAATTCTCTGAATGTTCAATGCAGGCATGCTTTTCACAGAGGGACACTTTTTAAATGTCATTAACAATGATGCACAGTGCTCAGCATGATTGAGTACACCCCATTTTAAAAATGAATATTTTTATACATTTGTCAGTAAATACAGGCAATGTATTTTAGTAAATTTAAACAAAACAGATTTAATAAACAGATATATTTATTAAAATAATATTTTACTCACCAAACTGAAAGATAATACAATTAAGTTCAAGCAAAATAATGCAAAAAAAAAACAAAAACTACAAACTACAAAATTTCAAGTAAAATTTTGAAATTTTTTGCTTCTCTTGATTTCAACCAACTAAAAATAATTGAAAATATATATTTCAATGTATCTTATAGATTTATTGTTGTAAATTATTATTTATTATTAGTTGTAAGTTACATAATATGACGCCTATATTTCAACAGTTTCTCTAATGCTCCAGGTTTGTCCTTCAATAAGTCTCCTATTTAATTTTACCCAATTAATTTAGTTAAAAGCATTCTCAAATAGAAAAATAAAACTATTTTTCCTGGGTATTTACAGCAATTAGAAAGTGAAATTCAGAAACTTTCAATACCTTTTTTAAGACTCTTTCCATACATGTTAAAACCTCATTGTCACTTTAGGTTTCACCCAGTAACATTGGCAATGTTTTAATGTACAGTATATGTACTGAATATATAACTGTTATAATAACTGATTGTAAGAAACTAATCCTAAACTAAAACATTATGCATATATCGAATAAAAATGATAATTGGTGCCTATAGAACTGCAGGATTTTATCAACTCCTTAAACGATACAGCAGCCCAATATTCAGATAAAATTCAGGCAAACTTTAGCATACAACTATACATTGTAGAATCAAAAATGATACAAAATTAAATACCTTGTAAAAAGACTTTTTAATACTTTTTAAGGGCCTTAAATTTCTCAAAATTAATGTATCAACTTTTAATACTTTTTAAGACCCCGCAGACACCCTGAATTCATAGGAAAAATACAAATAAACTAGTGAATTGTCCATCTTTCAAATGATTGAAATTAAAAACACATAATCTTTAGCATTTTGTTTTTCATTTAAATTAACTGTTTATACCAGTCATTAATGTTAGTTTCTCTGGACATCTGATGTATAGTTATGTGCTTGAGTGAAATGTCATTTTAATTTTATTGCACACACATGTGAAAGCTACATAAATGAAACAATAATAATTATATTTATATAGTGTGTTTCTGGACACTCAAAGCACTTTACACACTGGGTGGAAGCCAGTGATGTAAAGTAACAAATTACAAATACTCAAATGACTGTAATTAAGTAGTTTTTCTCAGAAAATGTAATTTACTAAGTAGTTTTAAAAATGTGTACTTTTACTTTCCCTTGAGTACAGTTTTTGTGCAGTATTAGTGCTTTTACTCCACTACCTTCCTTCATCCTGCAGTCACTACACCTGACAAATAAATGTCAGTATTTTACTTTAATATGAGGTTGGTTTAAGATGTTAACTTGACGTTGGATTTGGGTCAGTTTTTAACCCAACCTAAAATTAACCAAATATCAATGTCATTTGACGTTGTTATTGGACATCAAAATAACAATGTCATTAGACGCTGGCTAGACATTAAATTTTGGTCACCTGACATCACAACTTAAATCTAAGCTAATATTAACATCTTATAATGTCATGTGCCTGATGGCCAATAACTAAATGCACTACAGATTGTAACGTTTACACACATCCACAAAACTCATGTAAATGCATCAGCTTTTTACAGCCTAATACTCACTACTGTTGCATACTTTTGAAAGGTTAACTTTTTACTCTTACTTTGAGTAATATTCAGATACTGATGCTTTTCAGATTCTGATACTGATCATATTCAGATACTGATACTTGCTACTCACACTACATTTTTAGGCAAATGGTACTTTTACTTATGCATGATTTTTCAGAACTCTTTTCACCACTGGTGGAAACTCCTCATCCAAACAATCCAAAATATTTCAGCATTTTTCTGGGGTTCAATATAAACCTTTTAAATATGAAGAGTAATAGTAATGATAGTAATCCAAATTAATTACATACACACAAACATACAGTTGCAATCAGAACTATTAAACCTCCTTTTAATTTCTTTTTCTTTTTAAAAAATATTTCCCAAATGATGTTTAACAAAGCAAGGTAATTTTCACAGTATGTCTGATAATATGTTTAACATTTGTTTTATTTCAGCATGAATAAAAGCAGTTTTTATTTTTTTTAATAATTTTATTTTTTTTATTTTAGGGTCAAAGTGATTAGCCTCTTTAAGCTGTCTTTTTTTTAGTCTACAGAACAAACCATCGTTATACAATGACTAGCCTAGTTAACCTAGTTAAGCCTTTAAATGTCACTTTAAGCTGTATAGAAGTGTCTTGGAAAATATCTAGTCAAATATTATTTACTGTCATCATGGCAAAAACAAAATAAATCAGTTGTTAGAGATGAGTTATTAAAACTATCATGTTTAGGAATGTGTTGAATTTTTTTTCTCTCCATTAAACAGAAATTGGAGAAAAAAACAAACAGGGGGCTAATAATTAAGAGGGGCTAATAATTCTGTTTGCAATTGTATATTCATATGTAGAAAAGGAAAAAGGTGTGACATTCGATAAAGAAACATTCAAAAAAATAACTATATGAAAACAGCAAAGTATCTAACAAAAATAAACTCCTGTAATTGTTTACTTTAAAGAAAAGCATAAAAACAACAGATTTAATCTTACCAGTATGTGTAAGGAATGATTGCAGGGTAAAGTCTGTTATTTTGCCCCCTCGGGAGACCCAGCAGGGAGGGAAATATAGAGATGAATCCTTACAGCAGAAAACGGTCAGGTACGAGAGACTGGGATTGGCCTGTTCATCACGTACAGAAAATACAACAAAAATTAGAAACAGCACAAACAACACATAAAAAGATTAAATGATACAGTATACTGGAAAATGTATGTAATTTGCATTCGACTGCCCTTTATAATGTAAATTAATGGAAATGAAAATCATCTAAGTTTTCTTGGGTGTAATTAGTAAGATTTAAACTGATGGCGAAGGCAGCAAAAAGAAATAGAGAACTAAACTTTAGGTTGTTGTTTTTAAATGACTGTTATATTTATGAATCGACTTTGCTAAACATAAAATGCATGATTAAATTGAACTGTAAATCCGCAGTCTGTTAATATCAATTTGGTATAGGAGTTTAAGAAGCAGGAGATCATTTAACTCAATGAATTATTAATGGAATTAGACAGTGCAGATAATATGCATATTGTAGAGCCTTTGTAAAATTCAGATTTATCAAATACAATCCAGTAAATTTGACAAGCAGATTTGACAGCTATTACAGTATGTATACCAGGACAGTATACAAACATGTTATATCATTCAAGTTAATAACACAGACAGACAGGCAGGCAGACAGGGACAGACAGACAGGCAGACAGGCATGCAGATAGATAGACAGAACAAATGTTATCATGAATGATGAAATGACTCAATGAATGAACAAACAACATATAGATAGAAAGAGATTTCGAATTAAAAGATAGGTAGAGATAGACAGACAACAAATTAATGAACAGAAAAAACAAACGATCAAATTAATCAACAAAAGTGAACAAATTAGAACAATGAAAGATCAAATAAATGAATGAATGAATGAATGAATGAATAAACGAATGAACGAACGAACGAACGAATGAACGAACGAACAGACGAACGGACGGACGAACTAATGAATGAATGAACGAACAGATGAATGAATGAATTAATTAATTAATGAATTTTATCTTAAAGGACAAAACTTAAATGACTAACATACAACCAACAGGTAGACAAGATAATAATAAATGCTATCATGAATGATGAAATGAATGGATTGAATGAACAAACAAATGAGCAGATGAAGAAACAAATTAACAGATAAGATAGACTGACAGACTGACAGACAGAATAATAAAAGATCAAACAAACTGATGGATGGATGGCTGGATATTCTATCTTAAGTAAAGACATTTTGAAATTATGAAACAGATACAACGTATAGATGTAACGTATACAACCAGAGACAGATAGATACAACAAAAGTTATCACAAATGAATGAATAAATGAATGAATAAACGAATGAACAAAAGAACAAACAAATGAACGAACGAACAAACAAACAATCGACTATAAAACCAAAAGACAATAAAATGAGCAATTTAATTTATAAACATGAATGAATGAGCAAACAAGTGACTGACAGACAGACAGACAAACTGTATGACAGCAGAATAAAACAGACATTAGAATAAAAGTGTTAATGAGCAATCAAATAAATAAAAAATGTAAATAAATGAACAAAGGAACAAGCAAATGTGTGAATCAATGAACAAATGAATGAACAATAAACAAACAAAAAAGTGAACTAACGATTGTACGACCAAAATACAGATAGCAGAAAAAAATTAATAATTAAATTGATAAAATATGTAAATAAACTGACAAATATGTGAACAAGTGATTTTATAGATGAATGAGGAATTGAATGAATAAGCAAACACACAACCAAAAGACATAGATGAACAAAACAATAAAAAGCAAACAATAATGAAATAAATAAAAAGAATAAAAGTGTGTAAAACTATAGTCAATTTAATAAATGTGTGAATGAATGAACAAGTGAACAAACAAATGTGAGAATAAATGAAAAAATTAACAAACATGAGAAAAAATGTACAAACATGAGAATGAATGAACAAATCAACAAACAAACGTGTGAATGAATGAACAAATCAACAAACAAACATGTGAATGAATGAACAAATCAACAAACAAACGTGTGAATGAATGAACAAATCAACAAACAAACGTGTTAATGAATGAACAAATCAACAAACAAACGTGTGAATGAATGAACAAATCAACAAACAAACGTGTGAATGAATGAACAAA